CCCGCGGGGCCACCTGGCCAAGCAGCCAGCCATGGCTGGGGATCCCAGCTCGCCTCTCCTTGCCACTCGGCGGCTACTTACACTGCGGCTCTGCCGACCTCTGCCTAGGAGTGACTGGGGAACAGAGGCCGAGCTCCCCAGGCCCCGGCCTGCTTCATTAGTTCGTTCATTCATTCATTTAACACAATTCCTTAGAACACCTTCTGTGTTACAGGTGGTGCCCCAGCTGGTGCGGGCGTATAGGTAAGTGACAAGTAACACACATGGCATGCCCGATGCAGGTCAGTGCAGCTGAGAAAAGGAAAGCCAGAAAGGGTGCTCAGAGTAGGGGTTGCAATTTTGAATAGAATGGTCAAGTCAAAACTCACTCATGAAGTGACATTTGAGCAAAAATCTGAAGAAGGTTGAGGAAGCCAGCCAAAAGGAAGAGCAGCTGCAAAATTGATGAGAAGAGCATGCTTAGCTGTTTCACCAACAGAAGGAGGCAAGTGTGGCTGGAGAGCAGTGAATGAGGGGAGAGTGAGAAAGGCGGTCAGACAGGGAAGGAAGGCAACAAGATCACATGGACCTTGTAAGTCAGTGAGAACTTTGGTTTTTATTCCAAGAGAGATGGAAAACTGTTGAAGGGTTATAAGCAAAGGAGGGTCATCATCTGACATGTTTTTACAATTGATTAGACCAATAATTCTGTAGGAATGGAAGTAAGAACAGATAGGAGGCTACAGCAATAACGCAGGCCGAGAATGAAGATGTCAAGGTAGCAGGAGTTGGACACGGTGATCTAATATATTGAGCAAAGAAATAATAGTAAAGAAAAAGAACCATCAATGATGACATCCAGTTTTTCACCTGAGTTCCAGGAAAAATGGGATTGTCACTGCATTTAGGAGAAATGCAAATTTCAGAGGTAAGATCATGATCTCATTTTTTGACATGTTAAGTTCTCAAAACCTATTAGACATTTAAACGGAAGCATTGAGTATTCATGTCTGGAGTATAAGGAGAGACGGTTTGAGCAGGAAGAAAACCTTGGGAGTCATGAGTGAATAGATAGCATTTGAAGTCATGAGCCTAGATGAGAGTCTGGGTGAGAGGGAGTAAACACAGTCAGAGAGGAGAAGACGTCCAAGAACCAGGCACCAAACTGAGCTTCTGCATCATCTGGTTCCCCCAGAAAGGCCATCCCTCCGGGAGTGTACCCTGTCCTGCTGCAGTCTCAGGCCTAGATCTTCCTCTGGTTCCCCTCCCAGCGTCATGAGGTCACTGTCACCTTTGGCCTCTGCAAATGGCTTTTCTCTCTCTGCCCAGAATTATTTGAGTTCCTAAAGATAAAGAAGGAAAAAAGAGACTGGCCAAAGGCTGAAGAAATGAATGGTCAAAGGACTTTGCAGGGAACAGCCATGTCCATATGGCCCTTGTTTACCCAGAATTTTGGGTCAACTATCAACTCTGAGATTTAACTGGTCTTCCCATACCTGGCAGCATACTGACAGTGCTGAACAGCATCTGTTCTCCTAGAGTTTCTGAGAAACACTCCAACTAGAGTTTTCTGTCCAAGCCAGTTACTTCTCCGCCTAGAACAGAACTTCCACTCCTCAATCCTGTGTTTCAGAACAGACCTGCATCCAATAGGAAAGCTGGTCTCAGCAGCCATTGCCCCATCATCCACTTGCTGTATGATTCTAAAGATGACTCTAGCCCAACAGTAACCACTGACTCCCTTTTTCTAGTGGGCTCTTTTTGGTGATCACAGTGGATGTCCGTTGTCTTTGTCCAAAACCAGTGCCTCCCATGCTCGAGTTCCCTCCCCTCCTCCCCCTGCCTCCCTTATTGCATCAGAGGTGAACACATGACCTAAGCCAGCCAAACAGGGTCCTTTTCTGGGACCTGACCCTAGCAAGAGAAATTCAGTTGTGTTTTTGATTTTATTTTTTTGTGGTGTTAACTCAGTGTTTTGTAGTGCTAAGCTGCCTTTCTGAAAGGACAGACCTGAGGTTCAGCCCCTAGTCTCAGGGAAAAGCATGGAGAGATTGATCTCCAGAGAGATGTCAGAGCAAACCTCACAGAGCCCAAGTTCCTGGGGCCAGGCCACCTCTGCCTGCAGCTGGAACATGAATCAGTGATTTCTCTTAGACCTCTGTGAGTCCCAGCACCTTCACTTATTCCAGATTTCCCAGGTATTCCCGGCTTTCTGCACAATATTTTAAGTTTAACACTGTACTTTGAAATTCCAAAGTTACATGCATTTTCTGTATTAGCAGAAAACCAGATTCCTATCTGGAGAACCATAACTCACAGTGGCAAAAAGAAGTAGCACAGAGGAATATTATAATTAATCGAAAACCACTCATCATCCAACTACGAACATGGTTACTTTGCTATTCCCTACAGTTTACTCTATGTGGAGTGGAGCTCTGTGCTAAATTCTCTCCTACGTAATCCTCAGAGAAGCTCTATGAGGACTATCCTGTTGTCCTCTCCACTTAAGACAGATTAAGGAATCTAAAAATAGCCACTCGGCTACTAAATAGAGAATCAACTCAAGGTTACCCCATTCCCAAACTCTGTTCTTAATCACAACCACAACCGGGACAAGGGGAGAGCCTGACTTAGGAAAACAGATGCATAGGAAGTTGGGGAGCAGGCAATCCCCTCCCTTCTTCCCTACCATACCAGTTCTGTTTTAACATCAGTTAGGCCTTTATGATATTAAGTCTGGAAGACAGGGTAGAATTTTACAAGCGGTAGTAGCCAAGAATGGCATCTCAAATGGAACGGAGAGCAGCATGGGCAAAGGCAGGAGAATCCACCCACTACATTAACACTGGTCCCCCTGGAATGCATCTAAGGATCTGTGCAGGGCAGTAGGGAGAAACCCACCAAGAAAGGTGTAGTAGGAGTGGGTGGGGGAGGAGGCCAGCCTCTCTGATCAAATTTTGGGGAGTGGAGTGGGATCTGTAGCTTGGAAAAATAATAACAAGGTAACTTTATTTTATTTATTCATTTTTTAAATGGAGGTTCTGGGACTGGAACCTAGGACATCTGCGTGCTAAGCATGTGCTTTACCACTGAACTATTTCCCTCCCCGCGAACGAGGTAATTTTATATTCTGACAAGTTAAACCTGTTTCCTATCATTATCATCAGGATCATTAACACATGATGTGCCAAGCTCTGTCTGCAAACCTCAGAGTATGGGGTTCAGAATCCTGGGGATCCTGTGGGCAGTGAAGTTCTCAGGCTCATGTGCAACCAGACCAGGGGCTGACAAACACTATTCAAAGAAAACCTGGCTCAGAAAGTCCAAAAGACTCTGCTCCAGTGCCGCGCAACTTCAAGTGCCTTCAGCAAAATGGTTTGACCCCAAATGGACTTAAGTGTGGACTTAGGCCAGGCCTTAATTCGGGCCGCCAGCCAGGGGTCAAGGCAGGACCTGGAAACCAGAGGATGACCTCGACAAGGGCGGAGGGAAGTTCGGGGAGAGGGCGGCGGCAGTTCTGGGGCCTGAGTTGAAGGAAATTTGTGTGGGGTGGTACACGCGATGGATTTTCGCGAGCCCCACAGAAGGTGCTGAGTCACGGTGACCAGGAAAGGGCAAAAAATCGCGGCTCGCGGGAACTTGGGAGCCCTCCCGCCGCTCGCCCCAATCTCCGGAGGGGCGGTGCGCACGTGGGTACGCGCAGGGAAGGCGGGACCAGCGCAGGTAATGAGGGGGCGGGGATGCGCACTCGTCTGCGTGTGGGCGCGCACGTCGGGGGAGCACGTGTGCGCATGTCCCCGCTCCCGGACCCGCGCAAGAGGCAGAGGGAATTCGCAGACGCCTCTGCCCGCACGTCTGGGATGGAGTAGTGTGCGCGTGTGCGCATACTCCGAGTGGGGGCGGACTGCGCGTGCGCATACGAGGGGTCGCGGAAGGAGGAATCAGCGCCCCCCCGGAGGTTCCGAGTTCGTGCTATGTTGTGGTGGTAGCCCGCGCAGCCCTTTTGTGGCTTTGGAATGTTGCCCAGATTTTTCCTGTAAATCCACCGTTAGGTCTTTAAAAAAATTTCCCCACCGCACATGGGTGTGGGTTCCCACCAGTATAGAAAACTATACTAGTGAAGAGCTGCGTAGTCCCTCCTTGCAGCCCTAGTAGAAACTCTGGTCATCATGTATTCTTTCAGTACGCTGTGAGATCCGATTTGCCTTGAGTCTAATTCTATTTTTTGCTCTGTATTAGAATTTGCCTTTGGCCCCAGCAACACCTCGTTTTGTCTGGCTTATTTGGAGTTGCTTCACGCCGTTCTGCACCCTGCACATACGGCCGTGAGCAAGACTAGCTTCTTCCTCTCCTGAGGCTTGGTTCTGATGAGAGGGACATATGCAAACATGATTTCAGTGGAGTCTAAGTGCTGTAGTGAAAAACAAAAGCTGGGAAAAGGCTGGGCTCTGGCTCAACAGAACTGATGGAGAGGCCAAGGCCAGGTGGGCATCAGGTGAGGCTTCCCCGAGGTAGCAGGGGTGTGCAGGAAACCCTGAGGCCTGACAAGGAAAGGCAGGAGACAATGTGAGGACCAAATTGATGGCAGTGGAGATGTAAAATCACGGTGAGATTTAAATGTGCTTGGAGATACACTTGGAGGACTTAAGTGAATGAAGAGAGTAAAGAAAATTAAGAATGTCTCCTAGGATTTCTGCCTGAGCAACTGGGTGAATGGATTGTGGTACCTCTTACCAAGAATAGGAAAGAGGGGGTTGTCTTCTCTAAAAAGACTGTGTTTTACGGGCAGAGATTGCATCTTTGTAACCCTGGCAAGGGCCTTGCCCCTAGGTGACAACAGTGAATGTTGAAGGGAACATGACACTCCTGAAACAATCCTTCCTCCTTACATAGGCCCACATCCAGTCCCCCTCACAGACAAGCAGAGGCCTGGGCCCAGCCAGCGTGCCCTTGTGGAATCATAAGGCTAGCTGTGTGTGTTACTTCCAGGATCCTGCCCCTGGAGGTTCCTCAGACTCCCAGGCACATGATTGGGAGCCTGACTGTCAGACTGTCCACTTACATGGCTTTTTGGCAGTCAACGAGCTGGCCTTTCGAAGGGTTTATTTCTTGTCTCCAGATCAGGAAGCAGATCACAGGAGGGGTCACAGTGCACAGAGCCATCCTTCTGCGGCATCATGGTTGGGATGCAGTGTTACAGCTACACCCCTACAGCTGGATGCCCCACTCTCCCGGGATCCCCTAGGTGGAAAAGAGGGTCACCAGCCTCATAAGGACCTCATCTGCCCGTATGTCCTCCACTTCTCAGCTGGGCCGGAGACTCCAAGGACCATCTTGGGGCTCAGGTGAACATCCATTCTGTTTCCATTCCCACCCATTCAGCACAGAGCAGGGGCTGCAGAACTCTTCTGTCCCTACCACTGTTGTGAATCAAGTCAGTGAACAGCAACCAGGTAGTGGTGTTACACAGGAACACATCTGAATAAAATGTGTTTTTCTGTCTAGCATTTTAATATGAACTTCCGGTGTATTCCTTAGTATACTCATGCACCACGGCTGTCTTAAGCAACCTTATCCTGAGGTGCACTTAGAAGGTGCTGGGACTTAGCTCAGCTTCTGGGTGTCTCAGCAGAAAGAAGCCTGAGTGGTACTTTTACTGGTAGGTTATACATTAATGCCCCCTTACTCCATTTTCCTAGTTCATGAAAAAAGTTTCAATCAAGTGCTGTCTTGATGTAAATGAAAATGAGCTGAAATTCCCCTGTAACCCCCACCCCTACTTTTATGGTTCCTATTTTACAGTCTTTCCTTTTGCATAGCAGGGTGTCATCATCCAGTGAGACTGGGCCTTCCTGTCCCTGTGAGGGAGGGTCTCTCTGCCACAAAGTGGGTCCCTGGCAGAGTTGGGGGAGACCTCATCCCTGGGTCTGCTCCTTGGAAAGGCTGCTGGGCAGTTCACAAGTGCCCATGCTTGGTGGAATGTGCTTGCTAGCAGACCACAACCCAAGGGGAAAGTGTGTATCCTTCCAGGTGGCCTCCTTCACGACACTGGCTCTGCCCACACAGAGGCCTCCTCCAGCTCTGGCCTTAGGAAAGACAGCAGGAGAGGTGTGACAGGTTGCCATGCTTCCTGCCCACCCACCCTAGCTCATCTCAGTGGTGTAACCCTTGCAAGGGCTCAGAAGCAGAGGACAGGCTGACCTAAAAACCAACTCGGGAGCAGCTTTTCAAAGTGAGGAATCAGATAAGGCTTCTGACATGGTATCTGCTGCAGTTCATTTTAAACAGAGATACAAAAAATTATTAAATGTATATTTTTAATAAAGCCAATAGTTATTTTACTTATAGGAGCTTTAAAAGTAAGATACAAAATGTAGAGTTCCAGTTTGGAAGCGTTGTAACTAGTCACACGATGTCCTGCTGATGTCCGAGCAAGGCAGCCACGCCCGGCCATGCAAAGGACACACACACTCACACATGCACACACATGCGCTTTGGCGAGACCCCTCTGCCGAGCGCAGCACCTGGAATAACCAGTGTTCAGAGCAAGGCGGTGCTGAGAACACAGCACCTACAAAGAGACCACACAAACAGCTTCACCCAGTCTCACAGCCCATGGAGATGCAATTACAAAATGTCTTCCTTAATCAGAAAAACAGACTGCAAAGTGGCAATTAGCAATGTCGATGTCACCTGTGCTGGAGCATCAAGGACCGACCTCTGTCCAGGGTGAGGTCTTTGGGGAGGCACTATTAAAACAAGGGTACTTCCGGATAATAGAACTCGAAATACAGGGGACTGCAGACACATTACTGAAGGAAGTAGAAAACTATCTTACAAGTAAAACAGCCACGGACAACTTCAACAGAGATTAGTGCACACACTGTGACAGCTAACACGGACAAGAGCCACGCAGGGTTGGTGCAAAGCACGTGCCTGAAAGAGTCTATGTACAAAACAGTTTTCTGTAAACATGGTGAGGTGAATGTTCAGAACCCACGGGGAAAGGATCATGAGTACAGGCAGCAATGGCATCCCCACACAGCACAAAAGACAACAACACCCGAGGCCTGGAAACAGCCTGGCAACACAGTACTAAAACTTTAGATGGCTGGGCTCAGACACTAAGGGTCCTCTATAATTAGTGTGTATACATACATATATATATATATTCTTTTTGGTTTTTTTAAATATAAATTTACTTATATCCGTAGAAAAATGAGAACGTAACTGTGTTATTACAATCTCTGCTGGAAAAGCTTTATGGAGTTAGAAAGAATAAACCATTTATTAGTAGTTAACATATATTAAAATGGTTTAATGATTTAAGAAAATATAAAAAAAATATTAATACTGTCAAACTTTCATACCAGAAAATATTATGGATTTTTCTCAATTAGACTTTTCAAAGATGAAATATGAAAAATTTAAATAAGTTTTATATAAAGAACTTCTGTAACCTCAATTAATATACAGTGGGATATGTCTATTCTATATAGATATATTTATTATTTCTCAATTTAAGCACCATTCAATTCTTCTGGATCCATTCTGGCTGGAAGATACCCCTAAATCCACAGGATGTTATCTATTTAATAGCACATGTTAACTGAAAATGAGGTGGTTTTTTGTCTTTGTTTCTTTTTTTAAAGAAAAGCCTTTTAAATTAGTTCCTATCCACAACTTAATTGGTTTGTCTTGAGCCAGCTCACAACGTTACTGCAGTTTCAAATGCAGGTGTCTCTCTGCAGCCCCCTGACCACACCCCCACATTTGGAGACTGTGTCGAAGCCTCTGGCCACGTGTGGAAGGACCTGAGGGCGGAAGGTGTAACTTTATCCCGTACTCAGACAGCAGCCAGCGGGCGCATCTCCACACACCACCAGGAATACGCCTCTGACGTCAGTTTTATCATCCTGCTTGCGTCAATCCGGTAAAGGTTGCACCCCTTGGGTGCTGCTGGGATGGCGAGGGGCTGTCCCCCTATAGAAAACTCAGATGACTGCTTCTGATCACAAATATCCTATACTTCACCCAGTTTGTGTAAGCTTAAATAAAGATAGTGTTGAACAGACCTCCAGCCACTGTATGTTATCTTAAAATATTCAATGCATTTTAGGCAGGAGATGTTTTAACTAAAAACCTACATGAAAAATAGCTATAAAATACAGTGATTGGTGTGGTCATCACTCAACATGTTGAGGGGAAGAGGAGGGTGTCAGAAGAATGGTCAGTTTTGCTCTCAGCATTCAGGCCTGATGCCTTCCCAACACACACAGTGGGACTACAAACTTGAGAGCTGTGTTTCTCAAAGTGTGGCCTGTGGCCCACCTGCATCAGAATCACCAGAGGTGCTTATTAAGCTCGAAGATCCCCCAGCATCTCCCTGAAGAGGGCCAGAAACCTCCATCTTCAGCTGGCCCTCCAGGGGTCTGATGCCTCCAAAATTTTGAGAAGCCAGGCCTTAAAGATTTGGAGAGCTGCCAACCACCCCCATCCCCAAGGATCCCTGCCTGGGACAGGGGTGCACTGGTCCTCTGGGGGGCTGTGCCAGCTAGTCAGCCCTAGGGCAGGGACACTGGCCCCAACAGCTCTGGGCAGGCAGGCCCTGGGTCAGTACTGGGGCAAGTAGGCCGGCCTTCGCTCAGCCTTCCCAGGGAAGGCCTTGAAGCCCTTGGGTGCTGCCTTGTGTGCTGGTGCGGGAGGGGGCTGCGGTGGGGTCTGCACGTAGGTGAAGGAGGCGGCGCTGCAGTCGCTGGTGGCAGCCCACACTGGGGACTGCAGCATCTGCATGGTGTCGTTCCACTGGCTGCCGGGGCTGGCGACTGCATAGAGTGGTGAGCTCGGGCCAGGAAGGGTGCCAGGCAGCGGGGAAGGGTGTTGCCAGGGGGCTTTGGGCGGCCACGTTTTGGTTTTGTTATCCTGAGAGACAGAAGAGGGTTCTTAATGGCATTTCTGGAGATTTATCATCTTTTCCCACCTCCCCAGATCTCTGGTCCTTACTCTCACTGAGGAAACAGGGTGAGAGCCCAGCCTTCCCCACAGTCCTGGAGCAGCACCATCCAACAGAACTTGCGACCACAGAAATGTTCTCTGTCTGCACCACCCAGTACAGTCGCTGCTCACTGCATGTGGCTAGTGCAACTGATTTATTTATATTTAAATTATATTTACTCTTCATTTATATTTAATTAGTTTCAATTTAAACAGCCACATGCGGCTAATGGCTGTCATACTGGACAGCACAGCCCCAGAGCTTCCTCTGCAAGTGGCTCTCAGTCAGCTAAGACGGCTAATCATTTAGACAAAGGAAAAAAAACTTCATTGCAAAGAACGCCTCATTGCTTTGAGGCCCTCTTCAAACATAAGCTGTGGAACCCTGTTCAAGGTCTGTACCCATAAAGCCAGCCCTCCTTGGCCAGAACAGGGCCCCAGTACCTGGTTCACATCCTCCACTGTAGTGAGAAGAGGCGGCGAGGGCAGCGTGCTGGTCTCCTGCTCTCCACTGCTGTGCTTCCTGGAAGAACCGAGAGCTCACTGCAGGCCGGCCCGGCCTCCTGCCCAGCTTCCCTGCGGGGACACCCTAGCTGCTTGGCTCGGGTGCCTCCAGGACGCTGGTTCTCAGTGGGGAGGGGACTAAGGTGGGTCTCCATGGGACGCTGCGCTGCCGGGGGCAGTCACGGGCTGGGCTGGGGGTGGGGCAGGAGGACGGGCACTGGCCGTTTCAGCTGCTCTCTGAGTCCACCAGCTCTGGCCTTTTCATTTATCCAACAGATACAGATGACTGTTTACCATGCACTGAGGATGTGTGACTCAAAAACAAAAGGCTGTTAGTTTTACTACTAACATGGAAAAAATTTCTGTTATAATGTTGAATGAAAAAGGAGGACGCAGCAGGCACAGAGCTTGGTGAGTCCGCGGCGTGGTGCTCCCGCATGCAAACAGCAGTCTCTGCGAAATGGTGCTACAGGTGACTCCCTAGACGTCTAGTTGGCCACTCTCATTTCCCGTGTCTGAATAGAAGACTTCCACCCTCCTGAGGTTCAGTCCTGCTCCCCTGCTATCCTCCCCGTCTCGGTCCACGGCACCCTGTCCCACACAGATGCTCAGGCCAAAACCTTGAGTCTCACCCTTGATTCTTCTCACATATCCCATTACCAGTTCCTCACCAGCTGATCCATCTTTTTGCTCAGCTTTCTCCTCACAGAGGCCTCCCTGACTCCCATTTGGAACACAGAAAATCCACCTGTCCCCTGCATTCTCTGCCCTCTGCTCTATTTTTCTTCCTAGCACCTAACCCAAACTGGCATATTTAGGTTTGTTTTTTTAATCAGTCTTTCTTCAAAAAGAATGTAAGTTCTATGAGGAAGGGGACTCTTGCTTGCTGCTATATCACCAGTGCCTGGTACGTGATCAGTGCTACTGAATAAATGAATGTGTCCCCCCACTGTCTAAAGGCCTATGTTGAAGTCTTAACTCCCAGTGCCTCAGAATGTGACTGTACTTAGAGATGAGATGTTTAAACGATTAATTAAGTTAAAATGGAGTCATTAGGGTGGGCTCCAATCCAACATGACTGGCGTCCTTGTAAGAAAAGAAGATGAGGACACAGACACACACAGAGGGAAAACCATGTGAAGACGCAGGGAGAAGATGGCTGTCTGCAAGCATGGGAGAGAGGCCTCAGAAGAAACCAACCCTGCTGACACCTGGATCTTAGATTTCTAGCCTCCAGAACTGTGAGAAAATAAATTTTTGTTAAGTCCCCTAGTCTGTGGTTCTTTGATGTGTTAGCCCTAGCAAACAGAGTGTTTGTAAGAATTATGTGAGAAAATGTACGTGAACACTGAGCCCAGGGCCTGGCACCCTAGCCTGTATGAGCAGTCATCGGCATCACCACCGTGGCTCCCCTGTGCATCCTGACTTGGGTACCCTTCTGTCTTCATCTACCTGCTCTCCGCTGCATATCCAGTGAAGCCTGACCCCATCACACGGGGCCATTGTGACCTGGCCTCCCTCCCTTCCCACTCCACAGCATGACTTCTGGTGCCCAGGTGGCCTGCACCCTCTCCATCCTGCCCACGAACTTTCGACCACCACCTCTGGGCCTCCACTTCCTCACACCCATAACAGTCTCTGCACTGCTTTCTGAACAAATTCTTCGTATTTCAGGGCCTAGCTTAACTTTTGTGACTACTTTTGAAAACTTCTTAGATGTGAATATACTATATAACTCTTTTTTTCAACTTTGAAGCACTGAATGGCCATTCAGAGGTCATTTTATCCAGTTCCTCCTTTGAAAAAGAAACTTCAGTGTCAGAGAGGGCCAGGCCCATGTTTGGAGTTGCAAAGCCTGTTGGTGAGTCCTGATTAGAACTCAATTGTCCTGGTCCTGCTCCTCCCAGGGAAAGGGCTGCCTCCTGCAAGGCACAGACTAGCATCAGCAGACCCTGTTCTCCAGAATACTTCCTTGCCTGTCATACTGGTATTTTTGGCTGCCACTTGCATGAGACTGTTCTGTCAGCAAAAACTCAACTCAACATTAAGTCCCCTGGGCTACAAGTCTGCATGATAGCCCCACACAGGCCTCCTCAAAACAGTACTGGAAGAGGCCCTCTGCCTCTAACACACACTGATGGGGAGTGACAGGGCTCCTGAGCTTTCTAGAGGAATGAGCTCTGGATCACATTCAGGTGCCCCGCTGTCCTTTGGTTTAAAAATTGCTTCATACCTTCTCTGCTTCACAGCAGCAACGAGGTCAGGCCCTGAAAACATGGAGAACAGGCTGTCCCCGTTGGCAGAGGATGTCTCATCACTCGAGCTGGCTGAGTCTCCCTGAGCACCCGACCAGCCGCTGTGCAGGCCATCCCTGAAAGCCAAAGAGAGAAGCTGGTCTCTGGCCTCCTGTGGCCAGCTTAGACACTGTCTGGACAGCCGAGGCCACCCCCACCCTCACCCAAGATCTAAAAGAACAGTCTTTGCCCTACATTCATCTCACAACCAAACAGTGGTCTCTTGTGTCTCTCCTTCATCTAAAAACTCCTCAGAAGCCTGTGGTTTATATGTGAAATTTATCTTAGAGCAAACAAAAAGTTGAGATGGTCTTTAGCTGTCCAGATTTTTAACCAGGTAGCATTAAGAGAGCTAAAAAAAATCGATCCCCAGCTGTGTTCATGATGAAAATCCACATTCGCACAGTATTCTGGAATCTGAACTGTACACCTGCGCCTTTTGCAGGCTCAGGGATCACATTCTGTAAATCACACACATGTCACAGCCATGGGCATTTCAGATATAGACTGCGTTAAACACGGAATTACTTCACAGACACCATCAAATAAGATCCTAGTCAGGGTAGAAGAGAGCCTCAAAAATCATCAATGTATACCAATGGTGTGTTCACAGGGACACAACATGTCACTCGGCAGCCTAGAGCCAGTCACAAACTCTGACCCCCTGAAGATTTGACCATGTGCCACTCTCTCACACAGGGACTTAAAA